TGCTTTGAGAGGCAACAGACTGCTCCCCAGAAAACAGAAATTGTATCTTAAGAATGGTGGAAATCAGTATGTGATGGGACAATATACTTTACATTGTTAGCATTGACATCCTTCTGGCAAAATTTGGATAAGAAAAAAATTCTTAAGATGGCCCTAATTTTTTGCACAAGCTTAATATATCTGTAAACATTTAGTAATTTGTAAATGTGAGAGCTAATACAATATAAGGAGGATCACACTTAATTGTCAGCGGAAGGGGAGATCTTAAGGAGGAGGAAATTGTAACATTATGAATCTGAAGTCCCAAGTCCTAAAAATGTATGACTCTGGGGAAATCTTTGAATGGATAAGCAATGAGTCTTCCCCCAGTACATGGAACAGCATTCCTGGGCTCAAATTAACAAGTCTCACTGACCACAGAAATCTTACATGTCCGTGGACTACTTTTATGGCTTCTATTATAAGTAGTATATGCTTACTAAGGGTAAGTTTGTGCTTCCATAGGAAAAAAAAATCAGGAAAACACAAACTGGAAAATAATGAATGTCAATTGTTTAAGTTATAAATTATATTGACCATCTTATAGCAAAGTTGTACACACAGATGAAAATCTCATGAGGACAGAGAGAATAGAGGAGACAACAAGAAAAAGTCTCCAATAACAAAGTCTGGAGGATCAGGGTCACAGAGTCTATAGCAGTTGTGTTGGACTTGGACAGTTAAATTATCTTAAAGAGAAGACACTACATGAATTTTAAACACATGGCTGAAATTCAATTGTGAGAATGCTGGAATGTATGTTAATCCTTCTTGTGATGCCTAAAGTACATTGCAAGCTCTTCGCAAAAAGTGGTAATTCTATTTGTAGAATAGTTTTAGTAGATACAAGTAGATATAGATTTCACTATATTATCTCAGAAATCTGTTAATCTACCATGAGCTGGACAATATGGTTGTACAAATGTCACTGCTACACAAGGAAGGGAGTTTTTTAACACTAGATGAACTCTGAGCTGCCAGAGCCAGATTGCTATTCTGGTTGGCTTGTGCAACTCTACCTTGCTGTCAGTATAATATAGATATTCTCTTGCTGACTTTATCTAGGCTGCAAACACAATGATTCTCTTACTGGCTTAAGTTTGATAGATAGAAAGATAAGAACCGTGGGTTTTATTAACATTCTTATTCAGTAGCTCTTTTTTACCTTTTATATCTACACATTAGTTTAAATCCAGAAGAATTAGAATTAAAGTCAACTTTCCATTTGAAACATAGTTGCTTCACTAACTACAGGTGAACTTAGTTAATAGCATTTGATGGGATAGAACTTGGTCTGGGCAGTGACTCGAATGCTTTATGTTAAAGTCAAGGTCAAAAACCTATCAGAATTTAGGTGTCTCATATCTCCATAGTATTTGGACCTCATCATTTCTAAAACAACCCTTACAGATTCTCAGTTTTTTAAATATCTATTCAAAATGTCAATATACAGTAGATTTTCTGCGTGCATCTATTTTCCTGTACAAAGTCACATTCTGTCTGCTCTGAACAGTGTAGAAACCCAGAGTTATCTCACTTTTACCTGTGGGGTGGTGGGAAGAGAAGAGAGTTCTCAGAAAAATCACTCTGTCAGCAACCACAATTTTTCTAACAAAAAAATGGTCAGAGCTCTCCAATACTACTACTAATCTTATCTAAGACTGCACAGCTCTGGAAAATCATGACTTTTGAACTTACTATTATTGGTTTACAATGAAAGTACTCCTCTAGGAGCAAGCACAATAAACTAATAAAAGAAATTTCAATAAATTAAAATTAATGAAAATAAAAATTAGACACTCACCGGTTACTAACTAGCTTAGAAATAAGAGTACTCTTGCAAGACAGGTATCTGCTCTTTCCATACCTTATCTCTTGAGTAAGAGAGAAGCTACTGGTTTTGTACCCTGAAAAAGATGGACTTAACACTAGCAATCCTCAAGTGGAAGAGAGCAGAGGGGCAAAAGCCTGTTAACTCCATTTTAAATTTCCATCCAAAAGCTACTCCCATCCCCTGGTCATGCAGTATCCTCTTACATAAGCTCTTAGCCTCATTTTCTGACCAAAACGAGCTGTTGGAGGCGTTTCTGTTTCAGCAGTGACCAGAAGATACTGTTAACCAGCACAAAGCAAAACACTTTGCTGCTTTGTCTTAGAAAAGTGTTCCCAATTCAGATCTCAGAAAGAGCAGATAGCTAAAGACACAAAGTTTCATAAGTCATGGACTGACACAGGGTTCCATTGCCAACGTCATCATCATGACATCTCCTGAGAGGTGGCCACTTCTCCACCAACAGTGACTCCCCTGGAACAGAGTTCGCAGGATTTGGCCTGGAGCCATATTTCAGGCTCTAGGCCCTTCTGATCTGCTCAGTAATAGCAAAACCATAGCAGGTGAGATGAGATTTTTTTAGTCAGATCATCTTGGAAACAGATTACCAAGTACAGCATGATGTTACCCCACAGATAGGAAAAGCTCACAAATAATAATAACAACAATAATAATTTAATTATTTATTATATTTAAAATAAAAACAATAGAATTACAATTTGAAGTTATCTCTACAAAACAAGCAAAAAAATTTTAATACATACAAATCTGAACTACTTCCACCAAACTAGGATTTGCAGATGAACTTGCTGACATATAGCTACAGCAGGACATCTCAAAAAGGGCTTTATGGCAGCCAGAGTCACAAGGCGGCTTCAGCAATAACATTTTCCTTCCCCTTCAGCTGCTGTGGGTCAGGAACCACCACCATATCTGGGAGGAGGGTGAGAATACTGAGGAGCCATGCTGCTGCCTGACACCCTGGGCACATCTTCCCATGGATAAATCCTGCCAACAGGCATGCATTTCCCCTATGAAACTGAAGCAGCTACAGTGGTCACTAAGGACATTGAGTGGCTAGATAGCCAAGAAACTGTTCTCCAAATCTTCCTCTGGGACACTCAGGCTTAAGCCTGAGCAGTTTCACTGCAAGACCATCACTTCATGGCACAGGTGGTAACATGCAAAAGGATAAAATACTAAAGGCACAAACACAAACTTTTATAGTGTCTTGCATGTGAAGGGTCTGATTTGCTGATCTTGTTAAAACAACTGTTACTGGCCATTCCAAGTCTGGAGCATCTAAGCGGAGATATGGCTTTTCAGACAAAAGGAGAGCAACACTGCCCAGGGAAAAAAAAATCCAGTGGCTCAAAATAGACAAAAATCAAAGTACCTAAACTCGTAGTCCCTAGTGACTGTTTTGTAGTACTGTTCATTGGGATGGTCTCTTAAGTAATTCAAACAGTCTCCCTGCCTTAAAAAGCAGAACAAATTTCACTGGAATTCAAACTTTATAGTTATAGACTTCCCACAGGTCAGAAGGCTTGACACAATGCCAGAAAAGTCAGTCAAAACTCTTAGGTATTTTGGTGCACATTTTTTCATTAATGCTAACAGAAAGCAATATTAGCAATATTGCAACTGTCAGAGGAATTGAGTCAAAAATATACACCATGAAAAAAATTAAGAAACTATTCATTAGATTACTATAGTTAATTATTACAGCTTCTCCATCTACTCAAGAAGACAATTAAATCAGACATCAAAACTCATTAGGAAAATGAATTTACATGACTTCACATTCTCTTTTTGCCCCTCCTACCATATCATATCCATCAGATGGCAGACAGAGGCTTTGAAAAATCTCGTGTATATTTTGAAGTGATTACCTAAAACCTAAAGATTAATTAAAAGACCTTTATTAAGTACATAAAACCCTATAAACAGAAAAAAAAAATCAAGTGTTTTCCAGTAAGCATGTATGTTTGTGTCATGGCTGTAATGAAACACGCATTAAGTATGAAACATATGGTTTCCATTTTGTTACCCTGGAATCCATCCTAAGACGTTTATGTTGTTAGTTTAACTGTTCTCTTCAGCTGAGAAGCTGTGGAAAATATCTCATCTGAAAAAAATCTGTACCTAATGGATAACTATAAAAGATTTACTAGATCTGCAGCAGACTACTTTAATAAAAAAGCCTCTGAGATTACTAGTTAATTACTAGATTTTAATTTTTTTAAATTTAGAATATAATTTTGAAAATAAAAAAAAATTGCTTTAAGAGGTACCAACAGATTATATTGGTAATATTTTCTATAGTTAATAAATTTGTTGAGGTGTTCATGGCACTCCTTTGGAACCAGGCCATAGACCCAACAAGAATACATGACAAAATCATTACTAATGTATCATGTCCCTAATTTTATATATTTGAGAAACTTATGCCAAAAGAGCACTGCTCTGAAGATCACATATGACTAATAACCTGACTCTGAGACAAGAATCATTAAAAATCAGAGGAAAAGAAGATAGATCTCATTTCTTTGTTTTTTAATAATTCTTGGTTTTGCCTTGATGCAGAAATAGATAGTCAAAGAGATGGCTAGAAATTTCAAGACATCGATCATGAATGGTCAGATTTAAATTTTACTCACACTAACAGAAAAAAAAAGGCTGAAACAAAGTCCAAAGGTTAAATTTTGCCATGCTGTGCTTAAAAATTCATCCCCAAATTGCAATGCTGCTAACCTCAGTAACAAGCAGGCAATGTATAAAACCTTTCATACCTTGTGCTGTAAACTAACTCATTAAGCCTGCTGTAGTTCTTACAAGTTATTGCTAAACTTTCATTTGATGAAGCCAATGGAAAATACTATAATGAATAAATTGATAAATGCAATCAGATCAGTTTGGAGAATTTAACATACTATGCTTCTTTATTTCATTAGTTAAGATGATTTGGGTTATGGCAGTCAAAAGCCTCCATTTTGTTACCTTAATATATCACATGGCTCTCTGTAAAGGGCCTACAACTTGAAACTCCACATTGCCTATGTTCTGCTAACATACAAGCTTGTTCATCTTTACAACCCACTGCAGGAATTAGCTGGTTATTTTAACCCACCTTTGCCATCTGTGCTTGGACTCCACTGGCCTTTAAAGCAGAAACGGCCTTCTGAGCAGCTGCGGGGCTGTCAAAGTCAACAAAACCGTAACCTGAAGTAGAAAACATTTAATTAACAAGAGAGCAACCAGCTTATAATCAAACACTTCGTATCAAACAACCATGCTACTAGCACAGTTATTATTTAATATAATTTTCCTGTTGATCAAGAGGGACAACAACTTGAACTCTTATGTTCTTCATGTAGTCCAAAATAAAACAAACAAACAAACAAAAAAACAAACAAAAAACCCCCCACAACAAACCAAAACAAAATGACAAAAAAAAAAGACAAAAAAACCCCCCCAAACCCCCAACAAACCTAGCAAAGTTCTTGAACTTTGAACTGGTGAGGATCTACTTTAGTGGAACAAATCCATTTCCACACCCACTTATTATCAGGATTTTGGCCAAACTGCTAACAAGCAGTATGGTGCTTTGCTTTGTGCTATCTGGTATGTATCTTCTAACAGGAGTTTATCATAGAGATCACTAAGTAAAGCATCATCTGTTAATTTTTCTAAAATAAATTCTTATCCAGTTTGAATAAATGATGAATAAGTGTAATTTCATTTATTGAAAACGGGGCGATGGATTTAGTTTAAAATACACATATCTATCCAATTTTTGGTTAATGAGTTACCTCATTGTATATACAAAAAAGACAGTTAATTTAAAAAGTGAGTGAAAACCCAGCTTCAGTGAAAGCAAATGATTTTTCCCATTGTTGCTGAAACAAGAATGTGAAAAATTGTCCTGAAAGCATTTTCCATGCCATATAATGCAATCTTTAAATATTAAAATAACCCAAAAGTTCATAGTAACAAATTTCATACATCTGCAATAACTTCTTTTCTTATTCTGAACAACAACATCTAGGATGTCCAAATTGCAATATACCTTGGCCTTAACAGACACTGCCCTTATAGGCTGGGATTTTTAATGCAACCAGAGAATTGGATGCTCAAGGCTCACCAAAAGGCCATCAGTTTGGAAGCTACTCTCACTAGATGTTATTGCAAACCTCATTGCGCACTTTTCAATCCCCTTCCTTTCCACCACTGACCTGGAATTCGTATTAACGAAATCGCTTTCCAATGTTCAGGTTGGGTTAAAAGAAAAAAACCCAACAATAAAATAACCTCTAGAGGAGTAGAAAATGGAAATATTTCTTCAAAATATAATATTATTTTCTTACTTTATATTCATACTGAGAAAAGGTTGTGTAATGATGTAACTGAACCAGCTTTAAAGTTCTTAACTTGGGAAAAACAACTCAAGTAGCCTTGTATATCATTGGAGGCTTACTTATCCTGCCAAGAAGCTGAAGAAAGCAGCATATTGTTTGGTGTAACACGTGGTGGTGTGGATTGTTAAATCCTGACATGGAACAAAGTGAGTTAGTTCATATCAAGTCCTGTGCTGCCAAGGCAAAACTAACTTCCCATACCCCAAACTAGCTTTCCATACCCACGGCAGTCTTGGTTATCACCAACACACTGTACGGTGTAATACAAAGCTACTGACACCAAGCACGCCATCAAAGCTGGCTTTGCCAACTTCTAGATGATATATAAACTCAATTGCTTGTTGTTCCAGTTACTTTAAATGCCATGGTGCATTTTTTTGGCAAAAGCCAGAGATGCTGTCAGTCTTTTGGTTAAATTCCAGTTAGATATCTGCATTCTGCCTACTTATGTTCCTATCACAATTTCAGTGACATGCAGCAAGATTCCCTGGAGTCTTACCTTGCAGTATGGTGTCAAAGCAGGCTGTTAGCTACTGCTTTTCATCAATGAGATTTAAATTCTGTATTGGAAAAATCAGCTTAAATCTCTTAAAGCATTAATGTGAGAATTTCTGTATCACCAACAGGACTACCGAAGACTCCAGGAACTGATGGAATGGACAGGCTAAATCAGTTAAGTGCAATCACAGGCACTAACTAATTAAAATAATTGAAAAGGGCATCTCATCTTTCCTAGTCACAATGACATCTGCATACAAGCTAGGAAACAATTCCAGAAATTTCAGTTTCTTAACTGTCAGCGCCCCTTTAAGTTCTTAAGATGGGGAGCTGAGGAGTTATGCCCCTGCATTGCTTCCAAGTTCTGCACAAAACCTGTGTCTTAATTAATTATGAACTCTCCTCCCTCTGCCTATCAGCTTTATGCTCATTCACGGGCGTTATGCTTATTAACATCGCTAAATCAGCTGACTTAATACTTCACTTTGCTTAGAAATTATCCTCTTAATTGTAAAAAAAGAAACTCTGAAATCTGGTATTTCAGCGCCACTCCTTCTCCCACCATGCACCCACTGGGATATAATCTTGCTGCAATTGCAATGAGCGATGAAAATCAGTGAACTGATGTATCCAGTTTATCTAAAGGAGTTCTAATTTTTTTTCCAGACACAATTACTTCGCTGAAAACGAACCCTCTCTTTGCTTCCAATACACTCAATAGCATATAACAAAACACAATTAGAGTACTGGAACATGTAATTAAGTGCTGCTTTAAGCTACTCTAATCAATGGAGTTTATTTCCACAATGTATAATTTTTTTTAGATGCCTAGTATAGTTGAATGGTCTTCTGTAAGCTTCCCTAGTTTCTCCAGGCAAAAGGCGGAAAGCTGCTTTTAACTCCAATTTTGTTTTTAAAATAGAGGCAAACTGCCAGCCAGCACCGTGCATGTCAGCTTCACTCCAGCTTGGCTGCACCACTGACACAGGCTGTCTGCCAGCTCCATTGGAGACAAATGTATTGAATACACCAACCATGGGCAAGAATAAGACTAGTTTAGGAATAAGAACAGAGAGGAAGGAAAAAAAGGTAGAAAGCACTTAAAATACAACATTAATGTATTGTATAGAATCAGTTACGACTTTCAGGTGAATATAAAGGCAAGTGTACATACCTTTGCATTTGTTTGTTGTCTTATCCAAAATAGCCTTCGTGGATACAATTTTCCCATACCTAAAATGTATTACACATATGTAAAGAAAATGAGAAAAGAACATCCTATTATAAGAGATACACAAATCACCTTATTTTATACCCTAATATCCTTTACTCTATGCAAAATTGAACAATATATAGACTATATGTAATGAAAACTCATGTGGAGGTGGAAATGACAAAAAAGATTAACAATTTCAAGTACGATCTTTTCTATTCACCTTATGTTCTCAGTAGCACAACAGAATCACAAAGCAAGCCAGAAAAAAAAGTGCTTTATAGAAAAGAATACAATGCAGTTAAAATCGTGGTACATATAAGACACCACATTTTAGACAGAAGCTTGGACTCTCTCAGTATATACACCAGTTAAAGCAGACAAGTTGCCTTGTCAGTGCTAGGCTTGCTAGCTAACACTGTATGTGAAGAAAAAAAAAGAGAAGAAAACCCAACAAAACCTCAACTGACAAACAGAAAAATATTAAATTTAATTTAATATTATTCTGCTCTGGAAAGTGACAAGTGGAAGATTTATGAAAGCTGATCAACAAAGTGGCAAAAAAATTTCTGTAAATTTCTGTAAATATAAACAATTTCAACTAAAACCAAAACATTCCTCAGGAAAGTTTCAATTTTCTTTTTCTCACTGCCTGTTCCTCAGCTTCTCAGTAATTGATGAGCCCAGGTACCAGTCTGCTATGCAGCCCAAAGGTGAGCACACAGAGATCTGAGCAACTAAGCTTGCAGAAGCAAACCCAGTTATAGGAAAATTGCTGTTTCTGAAGTACTCTACAATGTTTATCAGAATTGGGTATTTCGATCACATTTAGAGTAGAATTTATTGCTGCTGGTAAAAACTTGAAATTTCCCTTGGAAGACAAATCCAGTTTCAATTTAAAAGCAGGAACTCTGTTGGCCTGCGTCAGCAGCGGAATTGGAAATGGAACACAGGTTTCCCAAGCTCGTCACTCACAATCTCCTCTGTCTGCTTGTGAACTACACTTGATACAGTGCTGTGAGCACACAAGAAGAAACGATGCAACAGGAGTTTGCTTTCACATGAGAATATAATGCAACTTATTACATTAACAGGTATATCTACATACTGTGCGCTAAGAGGCTCTTTAGCATTGTGCAAGAAACCAAAATGAGCTGAAAATTATGAGAAGTGTTATCAGTATAAGAAAGGGGAATTTGGAGAAGAATAAAGTTTTGCCATCTTACCTGCTAAATATAATTGCAACAGAGTGAGTATCATTTCAAAAAGATGTTATGTCAAAAGACAACTAACTCAATTTCTGCAGTAGCTTTATTAGTCTTTAAAATTCTTCAAAATATATGAGGTCTAATAAATGATGCTTCATTCACTGAGTACTCAAATAACTGTTCACTTGCAAAGTGACAGTTATTCAAAGACAAAATCTATTTACAAAGTATTTTCCCCCTAAAGAACATTTAAATACAAGTTTCAGTGTAGTTATCAATCTTGGTAACCAATTTCAATTCAATTCACCAGTTTCTGTTTATTCAATGAGCTACTGTATGGTTTCAAATGGTTGCAAGGGAGTAAACCAGGAACATAAGCTACAAGGTGATGGCTTTCTTATTTTATCTGAAATTGTGAGCATCTACACTGGTACAAAATAGAACTATCCATCTATAGCCTAAAAATGTACAAGCATCAATGAAAATCAGTGCATACCTAAATATACCATTTTAGAAGCTGTAATAAAGCAATAGAAATTGTGCCTAATAGTTGGAGCAGGTACTTCCTTATTAGTGCCACTTATTTTCCAAATATGTTATTCCATTTAGAAAGCTTTATAATCCCTAAGTCAAAACTTCTGCAGAACTTTTCTTAGTCCAGAGTAAAAACACATGCTACAAATGAGAGAAGTGAACTGTTCAGGTCGCTTGCACCCAGCATGACATTTGACAGCCAGCATTCTCCATATCCTATCAGCTTCCCTAAGCTTCTTAAAGAGAAAAGCTACATAACCAAAGGATGATCTTGTCCCTCCTACTGTTTCAGTTCTTGAAAGCATAGAAAGTGGTGCTGAAGAACTACAGCACTGGGTATCTATGTAAGCACAGTAACTCAGTCAGTTGGTTCAAGGTGGGGAGTCAGGGCTGGTTGTGGACTGCACTGGCCCACCTATGCTGACACACACCAGCCCATAAACAGGTGCCTGTATGTCTGTTCTTTACAGCAAATTTGTGGACCACCTTCCATTGTGTAAGATGGCTTAGTGATTTATTTCACTGTTCTAGATAGCACAGCTTCTGCAAAGAACCAGCCACCATGGAAGGCTGCCAAGAAATTTCAGCAGTGTGAGTCTAGGAACAAACTGGGAACCAGTATAACAATAGCAGCTATCACCAGGATCTCTCCTACGATATTCCCATGTGCTAGCTTTCCACTCACGCCATGAGGCACAGAAGTGTAGTTTACCCGCCCTGACCCTGGCCACAGGGATACATCCCCTCCTTGTTCCCAACATGGGGTCTGATACCAGAGGAAATTACTCCTCGCAGTTCCTCCCAAGTGCTTCCTTCAAATGATGACCATCGCAAAAACCTACTTTCTTCCCCTTGAATTCTACAGTCCTAATACTCTGCTTTTAATAGTCTCCTGTCTTCAATTTGTCAGGTGTCACTGCAATCAAAACCCAGCAGAAATCAATGAGCTATAAAATACATCAGTCATGATGTAAACTGATACGTATCACCTGCTTAAAAAAAAAAGGATTATAGCAAGCAAGAGAAAATTTATATTTTATGATGTTAGGTCATGCCTGAAGATGATTATTCCTCTCAAAGCTCCTGTACATCTAGTTGTCTTAGGCACTGTGCAGAGGCTTCTCTCCAGCTCCTCAGCCTTACTGCATGCTTGGTGAGACTTCCTACCTACAGCAGAGCACTATTTTCATGAGTGGCAGAATCACTTCTACAGTGATTGGCAATTGCTTATTCCCTCGGCCATGGAGCAATTTTTTAAAATATACTTTCTTTTAAATTCAGTATCAGTCTTGAGAAATAACTGCTAATCTAGCTGGTGACAAGCAACTAGGTATCTCTTACTAAGTGGGTTATTTATCTCCCAAAATAATATCTAATTAATGTTCAGCAGCAATAAAGATTTTCCTTTTTTTTTTTGTTTTGTTGGTTGTTTTTTTTTTGAGTGCTTTTAACATATTCTCTCTTCAGTCTGAATTGTCTTTGGAGACGGAAAATGTTTTCAGCTTTGCATCTCTTTTCTACACAGCACCTGGACCAATGTCAACTCACATATTGAGAAAGAGAGGGCTTGGGTAAGAGGCAGGTAAATAATTGCCAGGGTGCACTGGGTATGGGATTAAAAGGGATATGCCCAGTAGCAGCCTGTGAACAGTGTACAAGCTATCATTATAGTACAGAACACCAATACAAATGTCTATCTGCATAGAAGATAAAGAAGAAACTTGTTCAAAACCAAGCTAGGAAGAAATGCAGTAATGCTGCTTAATAGGATAATGCTTACCACTGCCCACTACATACTCTTGGTGCAGAAACAAAAGAATTACCTTCAGCTGCTCAGCTGCCCCAAAATTTATTGCCAGGCAATGTGAATCTCAAACACAGCACTATACCTTTGTCTTAGATACTTTTGAAGTGGAAGACTTGAAGCAAAGTATCACCATATACTTCTTTAAAATCACATTGTTCAGCAACATGGTAAAAACCAGTGCAAACAATCACCCTGACAGATTTATTACAAATAGCTAGAGATACTTTTAACATTTAAAACATCTCTGAAGCCTAATTTTGGCAACCTCCATGATGTTGAGATAAAAGGGTCCTTATAAAGCTAAGTAGATGTATCAACCTGAACCCCTGTTTATTTTTTTCCCTTTGTACATCTGGTAATACAATGAACATACTTGCAAATGTGAGGGTGGTAAGATGCCATCATAAACATGACAAAGAATGAGGAACGAAGTAGCTTGAACTCTCTGCCCCAAGCGCTTTTTTTTAAGTGTTGAAAGAACTTATCTGTGTGTGCATTAGGGAGGTACAGTAAGAACTGGTAGTGAGAGGCTTGATAAGGTTTCTCTGGAATGAATTGTTCAAATCCTTGGCCACAACAGCTTAATGTAATATATCTTATGCTACCAAGCTTTTCTTTGGACTGCTTTCAAACTATCTTCCAGCTTGTGCTGTGAAGGGTTTCTCTACCACCTGACACGGACACAAACATGCCAGAAGGAACTCTGCTACCATGAAAAATCCTTGCCTTTTATTGCTGTTCAGGTCCTCTATCCTGAACTGTCCAGAACTTTGCATTGAAGATGAGCAGTGCTCTTTCTTTGCCTAAGTCCAATCCAGTTATAAAAAGAGCATTCCTGGTGTTACAGCTTGCATTACTGCAGTGCTGTCAGAATTCCTCTGTTATGCAGAAACAATGCTGCATATCTTCTGTGTTTATTCTAGATTAATTTTTACATCTTAGCATCTTATCAATGCCTTCCATGGAATGCTCTTACTTTTAAGAGTCAGAGTCATGTGGTAAAACCAGACATGGATTTCATAACATGTAAGTGGTTCTGAGTATGTGAACTCACTTTAAGGTGGAATAATGAAAGGAAAGGGAATCTGGTTGAACACCAAAATTTCAGTAGGGAGCCAATATTCTCACCAGGTGACTCAAAGACTAGAGAGAGCACAAGAAACTGGCAGATCCAGCAAGGAGGTTGATGTGGGAGAGCAGATCGGTTAATCCTAAAATATAATGCAGTTGCTGAATAAATTCCCATCAAAATAAGTCTTACTTTAGACTGGGATAAATAACAAGAACAAAATGCACAAAGCAAATACTTCCAAAGCAATTCCTATATATTAATTGTAACACTAAAAAGAACATGCAGGTGGGGCTGCTTAGTCTGTAAATCAGCTTTAAAAATAAAAGAGGTAACAACAAAAAGACAAACAAAACCCCTTTCTTATTCAAGATGGCCATATTCAGCACACAATATGGTCAG